TTCCTCTCTGGGCTTCCGTTCCCAGCTCTGCGATGGAGGTAACCACGTTTGCCCACATTGGTGGGGCTTCTGAGGGCAGATTGCTTAAGGGTTCTGACACAGCTTGGGGCTGGAAGGACTACAGGGTGACAGGGAGCCAACCCGGGCTCCAGGATTCTCTGTACTGATCCGTTATGTTTGTATTATCCGAGTTGTTTATTTTCAAATGCACATAGTTAGTCCCAAGAGGCAGATCAGCATCTCCGGCCAGAGGGGCAGGACCCTGCGCGTGGTCTGTGCCCTGCTGGGTGTGCGCGGTGCTCAAAGCTCCCGTGCGTGCAGAGCGTTCCTGTGATTCACTTCCAGCTCCTGGCTGCCTGGGCTGCCTCACCCCCACCTTGTCTCATGTTCTTAGTGAGCACTGAGTGTCCTGGTGGCTTTGTGGGGTGGGACAGTGGGCTGGGGGCCCGGAGCAGGGTGGGTGCAGAGATCTTTATTAGCACAAAGGCACCTTCCCTATGATAGCGGGGCGGTGGGCAGGCGGCACAGCCCTTGGTCACGGATGGGCTCAGTTCTGAGCCTGCCCAGCACCTGCCAGGGTGAGACCTGGCTTGGGCGAGCTGCCGTGGGGCAGGACCCTGCACGGCCCCTCTCCTGCAAAACACCTCACGATGCAAAACCGCGGGCTGTGTTGCCGCAGGTCAGAATCGCTTCCCAGGCTGCCGCTGTAAAACCCAGTGCAACACCAAGCAGTGCCCGTGCTACCTGGCCGTGCGGGAGTGCGATCCGGACCTCTGCCTGACCTGTGGGGCTTCGGAGCACTGGGACTGCAAGGTGGTCTCCTGCAAGAACTGCAGCATCCAGCGAGGTCTCAAAAAGGTATGGACAGCAGCGTGGCTCTGGACTGGGAGCGGGCAGGGGGCTGCCCCGGGGCAGAGCGGATAAATGGAGCTCCTGCTCCTGCTTCTGTAGCACTTAATCTGGTGTATGGATCATGGATGTGAAAATCAGGAGACGGGGGTTTTGTGAGGAAGGGTGCGAGCAAGGGAGTGTGAAAAGTGACTCCAGAGAAAGGTTAGGTCTTGAATTCTGCAGGTCAGGGCAAGGGGTGGCATGTAGAAAAGACCAGAATTCAGAGGAAGAGGCAAATTAGTGGGTGTCCAGTAACGTGCAGCTCCAGCTGCACAGGTGGAGAGCTCTTCACCGTTGCTTCCTGGCCTGCCTGATGCACAGTGTGGTCTGCGTGTGCTGCGAGGTGGTGGGCCTGCAGACCGTAACCGTTTCCTTTTCACCGTGGCTCCAGCATTTATTGCTGGCACCATCGGATGTCGCCGGCTGGGGGACTTTCATCAAGGAGTCCGTGCAGAAGAATGAGTTCATCTCGGAGTACTGTGGTGAGGTCAGTGCTTCTGCCTGTGCTGGGGCCGCTGTGCCGCGTGCTCGGGAGGCTGCGCTCAGTGGCAGCGCTTCCATCGACCGCTGCTCCAATGGAACAGTGTGCATCCCCGGCTCGGCTGTGGCCGTGGGCTCACTCTGACCGGGTTTAGAGGTGGAATCTTGGACCGTTTCAGAACCCATCTCAGCACCTTTAGGCCCTCCACCATGAAGGAGCGTGTTGTGTACGTGCTGCTCCCTCCCCGGGAGCCCAGCTCGTGTCTCTGCTCCCTCCCTGGGGGCCCTGGCAAGCTCCTGCCCGTGGGGTGGGAGGGTGTTTCGAGGCCACGAGCGCTGCTTCTCGCAGCCTTGCTGTGCCCTCAGGCACTGAGTCTCTCAAGGTGTTCTCCTTCTCCAGCTTATTTCGCAGGATGAGGCTGACCGGCGAGGGAAGGTCTATGACAAGTACATGTCCAGCTTCCTCTTCAACCTCAACAACGGTAACTGGCCTGGGGCTCGAGGGCTGGCGGAGACGGGCTGCTGGGCAGGGGCTGGTGGCCAGGGTCTGTCCCCTGAGCAGCACACCTGTCTTCACACTACAGTTTTCTTCTGTTTTTTTTCTTAATAGATTTTGTTGTTGATGCCACTCGCAAAGGAAATAAAATCCGCTTTGCCAATCACTCAGTGAACCCCAATTGCTATGCCAAAGGTGAGATACTGCTGCCCAGTCAGATCCTGGTGGGGGGAGGTTCTCTGGAGTCCTGCTCCGCTCCAGGATCGCAGCGGATTCTCTGGGGTCCCGAGTTGCCCTCAGCCTGCGGGAGGCCCGGACAAAGTCTCCTTCCCTCTGCAGCCAGTGATGTTCCCATGGGTGAGGGCCCTGCTCAGCTCTGCGGTGGCCGTGGCCTCCCCGGGGGAGATCACTGCGGGAGAGCGGCTGGGGG